AGTGGGAGATCGGGGAAGTTCGCAACTCATTGAAAGCAGGAATTATAAAATACGATCCTGCTTGGGCTGCTACAATCCTGCTTTTTAAGCCTAAGCTGACACTTATCAAGTTCAATCATTCATTCAAAACAAATCATTCTTAATCTTAATGTGCGACTGATTACCAGGAATCGATTCGTTTTATTGTAAAAACGACAAGAGTGGCTGGTATGGGGTTTGAAGCAGGATAATGCAGGATTATAGCAGCCAAAGCAGTAACTTGTTTCAGCCATCCTGCTTTTATTATGTTGCTTTGTGTGGCGTCACCAATCAGACTAAAACTTGCTGTATTCTAAAAACAGCAAGTGTTCTAAAAACAGCAACTGGGAAGTTAGCAACCAAAATAAAAGTAACAATGGCTCAAAATTGGTAGGTGTGGCTGGGTTGGGATTAGAAGCAGGATAAAGCAGGATTGTAGCAGCCCAAGCAGGATCGTATTTTATAATTCCTGCTTTCAATGCTAACTGCCCTGATCTTAAAGTGGGTTCAAAGTTGTGCACTCCCAAAGTATTGAACCACGCGCCGCTACTGTTGTATTGGACAGATCATATACACCGAAGAGATATCTCATAAATGAAAAGCGATAAAATTAAATGACTCATTAACGTTTTCGTCGGTGTGAAAATTAATTTCCCTAAAGCGCAAAGCGAGAATCGGGGTCAATATGTCGCGTGGACATTTTATATCGAAAACTTGTGGAGGAGAAGTAAACAACATGGTGGTTTTGTGTTATATGTTATGTCGTGGTTTGTTTTAGAAATGCGTCACCCAAAATGCCACTCTCTTTCAATCAAACCGTACGCGCATTGTGACTAAATTAATGCTGATATTTAACTAATATACAGTGTGTTATGCCCACTTGCACCGTTTGTATAAATTTTGTTTAAAGCCTAAACAGTGATTAACTATAATAAAATAAAATAGTTAATCACTGTTTAGTCTTTAAACAAAGTTTATACAAACGGTGCAAACGATAGTCTCGGTTACAACCAAATGAAATAAATATGACAATATTTGCTAGTTTTCCTTTTTGTCATATACCTAGATATTATAATAATAGTTATTTATAGCTTTATTATTATTTATAGTTTTTTCCATAGCGAGTTACGTTTTAAAAATTGCTTGGGGGGGTGGAGCGAGCTCCATGAGCACGCCATATGCCAGGTTATACGCCGTTTTGCAAAACCTCCCGTTCAGTTTTGACGCGAAGGACCCCTCTGAGTCCAATTCTAATCTAGATAATAAAATACTAATGAGTTTTAATAAAAAATGATATTTTTTATTACATTTCTTAACCCATATAACACACAATATTCGCAGGATATTCATAGAATGTCGGAATGTCCCATTATAAGATCATCTTATAAAGACATCAATAAGATATCCTCAGACATCCTGAAATCCTGTAGATGTCTCAGAATAGAATATCCTATGGATATCTCTGTCGTATATCTATTGTACATCCAGCTGAGATATCCAAACATGCTCATGATAATAAAATATCCTAACAATATCGTCTAGATATTTAGGAAAAATAAATAATGTACTACTTTTTATATTACATCAAATGCAATAAACCATACAGATAGATATATATTACGTCAAGGCAACAAAATATCCTGTTGGTATCTTCTGGATAATCTGGATATGTATGAGCTTGGCCACTCCCAGTAATATAGAGAATTTTAAACGCCCGCGCAAAAAATTACGACAGTTGTTTATTTTTGATGGTTTTTGCATCCTGTATTATTCAGTTCATACTCTGGTTCATATTCAGTTCTTTGAGTTAGTGAAATTCGAGGCGAATTCGGTCGTTTGTCGATATTGGATGGGCTTAAAAATGACTGAAACTAACAAAACTGGTTGAGTTTGACTTAGTTTTTTCTTATACTCATAGTTCTAGCCTTGTTCTAGCAGAAATTCTATCCTAACCTCAACTAATGTCGAAAAACAACTCAGTGTCTCACAATGAAGAATTTGTGACAAAATTATAGGTGAAAATTTGTTGAAAATCGCTTGTTCTTTATCCCTAAACCCATTTTCGTGTTTGATCTATTCAAACAGAAATCCTATTTTTGGGTTTAAATTGTGAATTTCTGGAATGTGTGGTGTTAGAAGTTATACCTGTATCCTGTGTGCTAACCTTGATGTAAACTGTTGCTGCTAGACATAAACTGATAGACTCCATAAAGGGTAGTATAATCTGGTATAATACCATACGACCGAAAAAAACGGCGTCATAGGTGGCTTGGAAATGAAGATTGCTGTTATTTTGTACGTAAAATGATATGGGGAATGTCATCGATCGTAATTTTCAAGCCAATTGAACGCCGTTTTTTTTCGATGGTACAGTATAAATTGAAAGCTCTTAACTCATACAAATAAACTTCTAAATTTTGACGCAAAATTCATTGACATAATATGTAGGTATATTTTAGAGCTGTTAATAAAAATATCCAATGAATAACGTCAAAATGTGGCTAAATAAAACTAAATCGCGAACGTTTTTACTATAAACTAAGGATGAAGTAAGTATTGTCAAATAACAGTCCTCATATAATGTCCTAAAAATATTCCATAATGCTCCCAACATCATCCTTGTATTATCCTAGAAATATCCCAAATAATCCTAAAAGGCTTGCCTAGAGATGTCTTGCCTAGTGAAGATAACTTTTTTTGTCCCACTTGGATATCCCATAAATATCCTCCTCTGGTTTTTGGATATCCCTAAGATATTTACTATATCCTTGGTGGATATCCTCAAGATATCTATAGGATTGTGTTGTGTTATATGGGAAGCTGAACGCTTGAAGAAAATTATTAAGTCTGCACTTAGCAGGGGTGGATGGGGACGTGGAAACCGGCCCGGGAAAAAGAGGCAACCGGCCCGAGTCCACAAAAACAAAATGACCATAACGAAGAAACATATTTTATTTATTAATATATAATTAAGAGTCTTTTTCGGTCGTGCGAAAAAGTTCTTTTGCCTCCGGTTAAAAAAAAATAAATTGTCTTGATCAAAATTTTCGTAAAGACCAATTTGGGTCGGACATCTGAATTTTTACTACAAAATGGCTCAGTTTTACAGGTTTCTACTGCTTTATTTCCATTATCGATCACGGTAATTTGATCTTGAATAGGCACGATTTTCAGTCATGATTTTGAGAAACTTTAAGGCTTTCTGATTCATTCATTTCAGCTGACCCAATCCTCTGTGAAATATATTACTTTTAGCTTTTCGGGTATATACTTTCTTACACATTGTAGAAAGAAATTCTCTCTTTTCTGCTACAGCAGCAGCTTCCTCGTGTACACGCGTGTTTTTAACGGAATGAACCGCGGTCGCCATTAAAACTGCAGCATTTTTTAGGTTATTATATAGTTCTTATCACGAAACTTTTCCTCCATACTTTTCTACATTTGGCATCTTGTATGATAATGCCATGACTCAAACGAAAAATACTTAGGCAATGCCTAGACAGTGGATATAAATGTATTCTGATGTAATAATATGTTACAGTTCATAATAAGAATATTTGGATTTTCGAGACATATTAATATTTTATTATCTAATCTAGGTTAAACCTTATTAACTCTTCTCTGCTGTCTCAGTAATTTTTAGCAAATTCATTTTAGCAACATTTTAAACAACAATTTAGACTTGGCTTTTAGTTCTCAGATTTGGACTTTTTAGTCCGTCCCCAATTCAAGCAAACCATAGATATGTTTTTTCCGTCAACCGCAGAGAGTTCGCGTCAACTTCGTCTACCATTTTACAAAGGGGAGCTGGAAAAATATTGCACCCAGTTCCCCAGTTGTTAATCTACGCTACCGTATTCTTAGTATACATTTAGATCGAGGCTATTTAAATTCACCTAATGTTATTCATTCTTTTTTTTGCTGCCAATCATATTTATTAGTTATTAATAAAAGAATAGTGGGTAAAACTATACAGGGTGGGTCTTAAATAAATGCAAATATTTTCAGGGGTGGTATATTTCGACCCCAGGACCCCAGGTCTATGAGGTTTTTTTTTGCAAAAAAATATGTTAAAAATCGAACATTTTCTTTTAAATTTTCCTGTATATTTTAGTAAACTTTTTAGAACTTCCTGTTCACCGCAAATTTTCCCACGGTATAGTTTCTTAATCTCTAATATTACGGCACTAAAAGAGATGCGAATACCGAAAAATTGAGGTGGCTCAATTTTTTTTTAAAAATAATTTTTTTTTAAATTTCCAAACTGTAATAACTCGATTGAACTTATTTGAAACTCGATAAAGAGAATATATTATGTTTATTTTATTGAGATCTACTAGTCCTGAAAATATCAGCACTTAGACTCACCTTGTATAATAAAAATTTTCAAACCGAACAAACAACAGATGATTATTAAAATTATACATGTCCCAGAGAAAGACATTTTACAATAGTTATTTTACAAATTGGTGTTTATGTTTAAAAGCAACTGACGATTATACTGATGCAAATTGATTAATTAGTTATGGATCACCTTAGTGATCCATAACTAACTAATACGTAATACGTACTAATGACGTAAGATCCTTATCTTACGTCATTTTAGTTAGAAGATTAACCGTTTAATTTTTGCTAATCCAATATTTTTTGAGCTCTGATCGGGACCGGCCCACCGGCCCACCGGGAATTTTCCCGTTTTCCCATATGGCCCATCCACCCCTGGCACTTAGTGCACTATGATATTCATGACAAATGGTGAAGGACTCGAAGATTGTTTCTCATAAATTTACAGTAAACTGATCGTGCTGCCATCTAAACAACTAGACCGTAAACTCAAAGTACCTTAAGGTTGTTTAAATTCTTATTCATTGAATTATTAGTGCGATTAGTTTGTACATAGATGGCACTGTGTGTTATAAAAAGAAAATTATATTAAATAAAAATCCGTAGATACTATAAATAATGTTTTATTGTTGGTTTTTCTACATAAAAAACTGTAGTTACAGGCACCAATAATTTACTATGTACAATTAACGTAAAAAACATATATTTAAAACTTTTTTTGAATAACATATATATTCTTCAGTCTATATATTAAAGTTATTTGTATTTTTTTTTACTTAATATACTATGGGAATATAAAATGTGATATGGAGCAAGAAAAATGAGCTATTTTCTTCTTAATGCTGTTAAATAAAGAAAAAAATATATCTACTATATATTTAATAAATATTAGGTGATAAAAGGTATTTTGTGCATAATATTAAAATAAATAAATATAATATCAAAATTTCTGTTTTTTTGTTTGTTTCTTAACTCTAAGTCGTAGAAAAATACTGTACAATAATTCGATACTTAGTTCACTTATTAAATGTCATTTTTTTTCTTTGAGAAAATCTTGTTTTATCACAAAAAGTACGTTTTTTAATGTTTATAAAAACACTCGCGCTTTGTATTTGTCGTTTGGTTCGTTGTTTTTTTTTCGTTTGGTTCTAGAACTGTAGAATTTTATTGATCCACACTCTAAACTCGCTGATCCTAGTGTAGACTCCCGGTTGGTTCGGTTCTGCACAGCCTATACCCCAAGATATGATGCCGGCTAAAAGAAACCTAAAAATAAAACAAAATAAAATTAAAGAAAATATTAAATATAAATAAAATATAAAAACATATTAAAAAAAAATTACCATAAAGATTTAAAAAAATATATATATTTAAAGAGATTTTACTAATAGAAAATAATGATCATAAAAATAGATTATCTATACAGGGTGTTTCAAAACGAATGCGAAAAACTTTAGGGGGTGATTCCTTGTTCAAAATAAAGGGTAGTTTGCTTTATAAACGTTGGGTCAAAAGTCAACCATTAGGAAGATATCGCGGTACAAAGATGGCGGAAATATAATGTTTTTATTTTTTATCTTGAAAACGAAAAGAGATAGACTAATGAATTTTATGGAAGCATTACTGTTATGAAAACACACTTTCAGGTAATTTTTTTACTTTTTTAAAATGAGTGGAAGGGGTTGAAATAAACTACCCCTATCATTCTTGTTAACGAAATTTAAAGAAAAATCTTATCAAACACATGCAAATTCTTTAATTTGGACAGTTTAGTTTGTTTAGAAACTTTTTTACCTCTTGTGTTTTTTTGATAAAACTCACCGATTCGAAATTAAAAAATAAAATGTAAATCATTACATGTCAGGACAAAAAACATTTTTAGATTAAGAATCTAGTGATAATAACGATAATAATAATCATCTAGATAATATCGTATTGCAGTAGAGTAATGTCAAATAAAATAATATTAGGAATATCCTAAAAAGTAACAGCGGCCGACTAGATTTTTTCGTAAAAAAATTACAGCAGCCCACTAGATTCTTTATCAGAAAATGTTTTTTGTCCTGACATGCTTTACATTTTATTTTTTAATTTCAAATCGGTGAGTTTTATCAAAAAAATACAAGAGATAAAAAAGTTTCTAAACAAACTAAACTATCCAAACTAATTTTTTTGCATGTGTTTGATAAGATTTTTCTTTAAATTTCGTTAACAAGATTGATAGGGGTAGTTTATTTCAACCCCTTCCACTCATTTTAAAAAAGTGAAAAAATTACCTGAAAGTGTGTTTTCATAACAGTAATGCTTCCATAAAATTTTATTTGTCTATCTCTGTTCGTTTTCAAGGTAAAAAATAAAAACATTATTTTTCCGCCATCTTTGTACCGCAATATCTCCCTAATGGTTGACTTTTGACCCAACGTTTATGAAGCAAACTACCCTTTATTTTGAACAAGGAATCACCCCCTGAAGTTTTTCGCATTTGTTTTGAAACACCCTGTATTTTGGCGCTAAAATGACGACGAATGAAAAAAAAAAACTGCCTAACACTCATCACCGTAGTCATGGCGATAATGGTTTTTAAAAAATACCATTGTCAAATATATTAATTCGTTCCTGTTCCTTTAAATAAAAGACTATGAAAGATGTCTAATATTATTTATACCATACGATTGAAAAGGAACGCCGTCAAAGACGGCAGGGGAATGACAGTCGATGATACTTTTGGCGGGGTTAATCTCTAGACGGTCTACTAAAAATTGACATAAAACTTGTCAAAGTAAACGACATCTAGAGATTGACCTCGTCAAAATTATATTTGATTATCATTACCCAGCCGTCTTTGACGCCGTTTTTTTTCGATCGTAAGGTGTATATTATATTCATGCATTAGAGGCGGGATTGACATCATGATTCCATCTTTGACAGTTTTGTGTGACGTTTCAATTGACATATTTGAAATCGATTTGAAATCTCGCGGATCTGTTGTGCTTTTTCGAGCATTATTCTATGTTATTTATTATTTAATCTATCGGTTTTGTTTAGAGGTACTAAATCAGGAAGGATATTGTGTCAGAGCTTAAATTTATAGTCAGATTATTGCAAATTCCAGAAAAGGTTTAAAATAGTTAAGCAGCTCAGCGAATTCAATTTGGCAGACATGTCCAAACCTTTTGTCCTCTCTTTGTATGACCATTGGTCCTCCTGAATCACCCTCGCATGAGTCAAAACCACCTTTTCTCCATCCTGCGCATATAAATATGTTGGGGATGTGCTCAATGTACCCTGCAGATCGGTACATTGTTTCGCAGACTGAATTGTTGATCACTGGTACGGACACTTCTTGCAGAACGCTCGGTAGAGGTCCATCTGTATGAGAAAATACAATTATTAGTTGAGAATTTGAAAAAATTAATTTTATTTGAAAGGGGTAGATATAATGTGATAATATAATATTATGAAATACCGGTTGCCTCTCAAAAGTGGCTCACCTCCTATAACTTTTTTATTTTTTCAGATAAAAAAATGAGACTTGGTATGATAGTATATGACATAAATTGGGATTGATTGACATATTCAATTGTTTTCGGTCACTTCCTGTTTCACCGTAAATGACTACAACTTTTGATTTATAAATGGCACCCTTGGTATTTTTTTACATTATTCGATTGAAAATGACACTCTGAATCGAATGACATATCAAATGTCAACTTTTGATATATTCACTCAAAAATAAATTGTATTTTAAATTTCAATCTAGAGTGCCATGACTGTGTTAAAAACTCTAAATTTTAATCAAGGAGCCTTGGAAAAATAGATTTTGATCGTCTAATGTTTTTAGTGTCTTATCCTGGCCGTTTAAAAGATGCCCAAATCGTATTTTTAACCATATCTCAATTTTTTCAAATGGAACGAGGGTGGCTCATTAGCATATTTTGAAAAAGCATTTTTTAACGAATAATTTCCGCATGTTACAATTTCACATAAACCATATGCAAAAATGTCAAAAGTTGACATATATGATATGTCATTCTATTCAGAGTGTCATTTTCTATCGAATAAAGTAAAAAAATACCGAGGGTGCCATTTAAAATTCAAAAGTTTTAGTCATTTCCGGTGAAACCGGAAGTGACAGAAAACAAATGAACATGTCAATAAATCCCAATTTATTTCATATTCTAATATACCAAATCTCGTTGTTTTATCTGAAAAAATAAAAAAGTTATAGGGGCGAGCCACTTTTGAGACGCACCCGGTATAATATCTTTACTAAAAGATAGTACTAACTAATATTGGCTTTATATTTGAAATTTATACAACGTTTTGGTGAGATGTATCACCGACTAATACGACGAATAATAATTATTTAATATAATCAACAAGTCCACAAATGACGCTATGTTTTCCCTCCTTAATAAAGTTTACTCCAGCCTAAACAACTATCATTCTACAGCAACAATTTTCTGTGATTTTTCTAAGGCGTTCGATTGTGTAAATCATAAGATCTTAATTAATAAACTGCAGCACTATGGGTTCAGGGGATCATCTCTCGAATGGTTTAAGTCGTATCTGAGCAACAGAAGTCAACTTGTGAGGGTGGATACCACGTTGTCTTCTAGAAAGCCAATAGAATGTGGAGTACCACAAGGCTCAGTACTAGCCCCTATTTTGTTTCTTCTTTTTATTAACGACATTGCTAACATAAACATCAGTGGCAAAATATGTCTTTTTGCGGACGACACTAGCTTCACTTGGAGCAACAAGGACATCACGGCACTTCATAGGATTATATCAAATGACTTAATCACCATTAAATCTTGATGCGATTCGAACCTCCTGAATCTCAACATTTCTAAAACTAAAGCTTTGTCGTATAAAAACTCGTTGCAGCCTTTTGTACTTAACAACACCACCACTGACGTCGTCAAATCTGTAAAGTTCTTGGGGCTTGTTGTGGACGATTCTCTGAAATGGGACATACATATCGAAGCTTTGTCGAAAAAATTGAGTTCTGCCTGTTTTGCATTAAGGTCTGTTTCTAAGGAGCTTAACTTGTCAGTGGCTAGAACTGTTTATTATGCACTTTTTGAGTCGCATCTCAGATATGCCCTTCCATTCTGGGGTACGTGTTGTGCAACTCAATTTGACCGCATTTTCAGGCTCCAGAAGAGAACTGTTCGATGTTCACTGGAACTAAACAGCAGAACTCATTGCCGGGACTTTTTAAAAAATTAAAATATTGACTCTTCCTTCCTTATTTATATTTGAATCCGTTTGCCTAATACGTAAGCATGTATCAGCTTCTCAAGAAAGGCCATCTCACACTTATCCACCCAGGAACGCGGAGCAAGATCTTTATCTACCTACCCCACGCTCAGAGCTAGTTAAAAGTTCAATATTATACAACTCGAAAAAATGCACAATCACCTGCCATCTGAAATCAAATCCATAACATCATTTTCTTCATTTCGCAAAGCATTGAACTCTTATTTACTAGACAAGGCTTTCTACGCCGTAAATGAATTATATTTTGAAAATCGAATTTGATCTTGTAAACACTGGTCTAATGTGTGCTATTGCTATATTTACTAATGACATCGAAATGAATTTATTTAGAGGTCATTGATATTTTACTATTAACTAGCTAAATATTTTTGAATATTATTTTTATTTTTTTGTTCTTTGACATTATAAACATTTATAAATGTTTATTTTAACAATAAGACTGACAATATTATTTGTATAATGTTTTGTATTATCTTTTGTTTGTTTGTTTGTGTACCTTGTTTTTTTTACTTTGTTTGTTAGTTTACCTTTGTCTACAAATTGAAAAAATTTTTGACAATAAAGGCATTTATTTATTTATTTATTTATTTATAATCCCTACAATTACTGAGCTTATAAAATAGAGCAAGACATTCATTCATGAAGAGTTGGTTGCAATGAAGCGTCATTTTTTCTAATTGGGACGCCGACAGCATTTCGTACGTTATTTAGAGCTCTGGATCGCAAGCGACAATTGCTATTTGGGACAGCAAGGCTCCTTAACAACAGGAAGAAAAGGACAAAAGCAGTACAAAAATAGGTACCTACTAAAACTATTTTTATTTTACTCAAAACAGTTGGCTGGTGGACTGCCGGTTGCAGTATTCGAACCCATAACCTTTAGAGCTGTACCGCTATGCCACCGGGAACCTGCACATGCATGTGTTAAATGAAACATACCTTCATACAATCTTCCCCATCCAGTTACATAAGCAGTTCTTCCAACAAAGTTCTCGTCTTCGGTAGGAACACAGATTGGAATGATGTTAGGTTGAAACTGAACTGGTTCGTAGAACCTGAGCAATGCCAAGTCGTACTCGAACGTCCTAGGGTCGAAGTTTGGATGAGAGGCTACTATCTGGACTCTTCTTTCTTCATGAAGGTAGGGTTCTCCTTCGGTGGAGAGATCGTGTTCTCCCAGTCGAAGTAGAAGGTCACTTGGAGGTACGCTGTGGAAGAGAAATAGTTTAAATGGATTGGAATAAATAAACTCAGAAAAATGTTAAAGTAAAATGTTATCAGTAAATTCGGGTAATGTGAAATAGATAGGGGTAACATGGAATCCACTATATTTTAAAAATAATGTCTCATCTAGGTTCTAATAGCTAAAAGATCAATAATAATTATTTTGTAGAATGTTCACAACAATAAAAGTTAAACTTTGACACTGATAGATAATATAAAAAATAACTCTATTGTTTAGATCATTAAAAATTTAATTTTATCTAGAACAAGATTATTTGAATCCAAGAAACATTAACAAGTATAAAGAAAAATGTTTTGTACTTACTTGTCAACGCAATGGGCAGCTGTTATAGCCCAATTCTCGTTCAGCAAAGCTGCACCGCACTTGTGTAGGTACGTGGAGGTTCTCCATTGTCTGAGGGATATCTGCCAAGGCCATTTTCCAAAGCTGGACTTTTCTCCTCCGACTATCCTGGCCTCTGGCCACATTCTCCTACCGCATACTGTCGTAATTGAAACGTTTTTTAAATCTCTTACTTTTATGGAGAATGTATGGAGTATAATAACTGTGAGAAGAATGGTAAGTTCTTGAATAAACATTTAATCCAAAATGCTTATATTTAGTAGTAGGTGATAACGTTATTTAGTTTTACAATGTGTTACAATAATTACTAGGGGTGGTGAAGCTATACCGGGTGTCCCATCAGCGGTTCATTCACCGGTTCGCCATGAACATCTAAGGTCTAAGGTATCAAATAGACAACATTTAATTACTAGGACTGTTTATAACATAACATAAAGAAGTAAATTGGTCTTTAATGGCTATTTTTTTTATAAAACTGTTATGTAATTTAAAACAGGTTTAATTTGAAAAAAATGTTGAAGGTAATAATTTTTAATACAACAGAGTTGGAGTCAGGGAACAAGGAATAAATTAAACATTTAATTAGACTATTTTTCCTAATTTAAAGCTGCTTTATTTTTAAAATTCTATTTGTAGTTTCCTGCAAGCACGTAATTCAAATAATATACGGGGGTCTATTATTGTATAAGTGCAAGTATTTTTAACTGGCATTTACGACCTCAGAAACACGCCAATATACCGGGAATATCAAGAGAATATCTTAACCATCTAAGATTTGCTGATGACACAGTCCTAATAGTCAATAGTCCTCAAGAACTACAAACACAAATTAACGAACTAAATACAGCCAGCAATAAAGTAGGCCTCAAAGTGAATTTAGCAAAAACTAAACTAATGTACAACGAACTGGTAGACAGAAAAGATATTCTATAAACTAAACTAATGTATAACAAACTGGGACATCATAAGGCAACTGCAGGTGGCACAACGCTCAATGAAAGGAAATGTGCTGGGAATAACCAAGCAACACCGTAAAAGAATAGAGTGGATACGACAAAAGAGCCAGGAAATAGATCTCATCCACAGAATCAAATCCCTCAAGTGGCAATGCAGGAAAAATTAGGAAAATTAATTTAATTTTTGTCAGTGACATTTAGCTGAAAGCCAGCCGATTGATACCGGTGGTTCTCAAAATGTCAGCATTATCTCTTAAATTTTCAATTAATTAGATAACTCGGTTATTGTCAATTTATTTTAAATGATGATAAACAGAAAATATGTTTCTTCTATCCAGATCATCCATTAAAATAGTTGCCCTTATTTTAGAAACACCTTATATACATATCAATAAAAATGGCGGAAAAGGTAAACTATAGTGTAGAATTTTCTAAAAATAAGAACAATATTTTTGCTTTTTCATTTACATGTTTGACATAATTTCAATTATTATGAGTTCAAACTGAAATATTGTTTTTAATTATTACACGGAAGATGTAATAATTGAACTTATTAATGTAATTAATTATACGTATGATAAGAGAACCATTTCCTCCACTATTGTATTCAAATAAAAGCACACAGTAGGTATATTATTTCCTCTTAATAATATATTTTCGCTCATGCAAAAAAGGCATGATAATATATCCATAAAAGTAGAATTTTCACATGGTTCACGGCATTTCTAGATCTACAAAGGTCTCACATATTTAATTTTTCATATACTGTATGATCGAAAAAAAAACGGCTTGGAAATGACGATCAGTGACATTCCCCATATAATTTAACATATAAAATGACAACGATCCTCATTTCAAAGCCATCGCTGACGCCGTTTTTTTTGATCATACAGTATATACAGGGTGGTCTGAACTTTATTCCGGAAACTTCGGCATCATATTCTGACAAAAATAAGTAAAAAAGTTATTAAGTTATTATAAGTTAAAAGTATAAATGTAGAAGATTATTTATATAGTTTTGATTATTAGGCGTCCCGCTTTCAATATGGCAATATTCGTAAAAAAAATCGCATTAAAAGTGTTTATACTCATTTCACCCGGTATATAATGACGAACGTATATCTACATACAAACGACATTAAATTCCCATGGGATTTTAAAAGCCGACGCGCACATTTGCACACAAAATACACGCGCACTCACACAATCGCACTCACGCAAGCCATAAGCGTCGAGTACACGGTCCGCTAACGAAGTTTACACGGCCAGAAAAAAGCTTAATTGTGTTGTTGAATAGCGCCCGATGAGCTTCCAAAGAACAAGAGCTGGAAGCGTACAACGTACGTTCGATTGTCCGGTTTACGGTTTTTTACGGCTCGTAATATGAAAATATAGGAATGTCCGGCAATATCGATATTTTGAAATATCGATATCGATATTATTTTTAATATTATCAATATCGACATTTTTTAGGAAAATTAGTTTTATCGATATTTTTACGGAATATCGATATCGATATATTTTTTTTAATTATTCACATTGATTTTTTTTTCGAAAATATCGATATCGATATTTTCTTGAAATTATCGATATCGATATTTTTTAGAAAATTATCGTATTCGATATTTTTACGGTAAGCATATATTGATATCGATGTCTGGAAAACAGCCGGGTAAAACAGAAATTAATAAATTTTTCTTTTCTCTTTGATTTATCCAAAATTTGATTTTTGTAAATAATATACAGGGTGTCCCAGATATAAGTGCAAGTATTTTAAGGAGTGGTAGATCTCGATAAAAGAAACATATTTTCCCTTTATCGTTTATCAAATTAGTCCAAAATAACGGAGTTATTTTACTTTGAAAATTTCCAATAAAAATGATTTTTTGCTAAAATTTTGAGAACCACCGGATCTTTTCTGGATTTTCTTTCTTGTATATTTGGTCTAATACCTATGTTGCCATATTATCAAGAAATTACGTTTTTTAACTAAAAAAAAATAAAAATAAATCGAATTTTCAAAATGAAATGCGCGAAAAAAAACCCATAGGCGTGTTTCTGGGGTTGAACTATACTACCAGTTAAAATACTTGCACTTATTTCTGAGACACCCTGTATAGGTATTCAGATGATATAATATTATATATATTTATTTTTGCAGAATTTTTGATATCGATAATTTTACTTTAAACATACTGATATCGGTCTCGGAAAAACGGCCAGGTAAATCAGAAAACTAGATATTTTTCGGAAATTTGATACACTGACGTAAAATCAAATTATGAACAAATTTTTTCTTTGACATTTTTCAACAAAATATATTGATATCGATATATTTTTTACAGAATTATCGATATTTGTAAATATTTTACTGTAAGTAAACATATTGATATCGATGTCCGAAAAAAAGCCTGGTAAAAAAGAAAACTAAATATTTTCGGAAATTTGGTACATTGACGTAAAACCAAATTATGAACTTTTGATATTTTTTCTTTTTTTATTTCTCTAAAAATATCGGTATCGATATTTTTTTATAAAATTATCTATATCAATATAACTTTTGAATTGAAAATTATCGATATCGATATTTTTTTAGGAAATTATCGATCTCGATTTTTACGATAAAATATTGATAATTAAATTATAATTAACAGAATATTCTAGCAACTGCCTGCAGCAATCAGTTGTATCCATATAGAAAAAGTCTAATATCTAGCTTATAAAACAAACTTTTGATTTCTAACCAAATTTTCTCTTGACAGATGATAATAAAAGGCCAAAAATGACATTCCTACCTTATATAATTTATAAAAAAAGTTAAAAGTTAGGTTAGGTTGTCTATTGTAGCTTTAAACTATCGATTTTTTGAGAAACGAAATATCCTTAAAGCTGTTTACAGCAACAAAATAAGGAATTTTAAAAAAAAAACACTGTTTTTTTTTTTTCTGGTTATTTGTTTTCCTTCTCTAGTGTATGTAGTTGCTGTTGCTTGTTCTCAGCCGCTTCTTCTTATAGTATTTTATTTCGATCGTGTAGGACGTAATTTACCTTGAAAAAGTTCGAAGAACTGGATCGCGAACAGGGACGAATTCAGTGTTGTTACATTTCAGCTAGTAGCAAATAAATAAATAAATAAATTATCTAGTAATTATACAGGGTTTTTTTTTTTTTAAGTGCAAATATTTTTCTGGTTGAGAATCTCGATAAAAGAAACGTATTTTCTTTGTAGTTTTTCAAATAAGTCCAATATATCTGAGTTATTTTATTTCTCGAAATTCTAAATTCAAAAAAAAAAATTTTGAGAACCACCAGATTTAGGGGTTTCTTTCTTAAAAATTTAATCTACTACCTATGTTGCCACATTATCAAGAAATTGTGTTTTTTAATTAAAAACTAAAAAAATATCCAAAATACCATGTATTTATTTAAATCTTTATAAAAGAGTATACCATTAATTAAATATAACAGCATTATTTCCGCCCATATACTAATTAATTACATACTTAATTGTGTTTGTTAATAAATTATTATAAATAAATGTGGATTTAAGTCAGAAATCACATAATAATAAGTTATCAAATTCAAAGTCTCTGTTATAAATAAGCATTTATTAAAAAATAAAATATCATTTTTAAGGTGTTACTTTTTATCACACTGTCTAATGCCCATAAAAATTCAGTTTTTTAGTATTTGAAGCAATTATTATTAATCATCGCAAACAGCTGTTAATGTAGTTTGAATACTTGGAATCATATTAATTGTCCTCTTTAACAAATATTTAAACAGTTTTTTTTTTTATTTTTTAATGAAATAAACGAATTATATCAACAATATTAGTATCTGTACTCTTTAAAAAATTTATACATCTTAAAAATAATCTAAGTCAATAGTCCATGGGTATATTGATAACAAAGTTCTAAATTACAAGAAAATGCATTTTCTACGGAAACTTAAAGAAATAGGAAAAAATGGTATATAATTTGATAGACAATTAAATTGCGCATCTAATTCATTTCGTAAAATATACAGGTGTTCCATACTAAAATGTTGCTGCTTGAAGCTAATAATTATTTAAAATAAATTTTTAGACACTCTGTATAAGGTAGTATTATTTTTATTAGTTGCAACACACACCGATCAGTAACAAATCAGTAAATATTTAGTATTAAAAAACTTGATACCTCTTGGAGAAATATTTTAAAATTTTTACTGCAATTTCAATAAAATTGAAAATATTTCAAAAACGGTAAGGTTTAAGTATAATAAATCTTAATCAAATTGTCTTATTTTAATCGTAGAAACTAAAATGTATAACAAGGTGTTCATTTAAAAAAATACAACTTGATATTTTTTACTTATTTGGGACACTCTGTATTCTGTAAAATTATTTTTAAATTGTACCCCTAATAGTCCTTCATCGAACCTTAAAACTCATAATTTGTAAAAATCTCATCGTTTTCTAGCTAAATAATTCGTGTCGTATGTGTGAACAACCCTGTAGATAACACTACCATCTGCCTATATGATTATGCTGAGATATTAAAAATTCCTCAAATCCGACCCTGCTTTAAAATTTAATTTGGAATATAAAAAAAAAAAACTTTTCTTTTATTAATAATCCTCTTATATTATTATCTTACCATCCTTCTCTATCATACTGGATAATTATATTCACATTACCAACGGAAAACATAAAAAGAAATACGAAAATTTTTTCAGCAGACTTACCATCTGTAAAATCGCTCATATTCACTGGCTTTTTCGTAACTTCTTCTGTAGTAGACGTCATGATACCAGTACTCGTTGACGTTGAACTCTCAGTACCACTGACATTTACTATATCAGTGACATTTGGAGCAGCTGTTGTTGTCAAAGACACGACATACTCTTCTGTGGTTGGCGATATAGGTTCCTTGATGGTTGTTGGAACTGGTACTTCTACTAAACCTGGACTAGATGTTGATTCTGATGTAGACACAGGTTCTATTGAGCTAGTACTAGAGGTAGATTCGTTTTTCTGTTGATCTGACGTAGTAGTAACACTGGGAAGCAGTACCCAACTATCAGTCGTGGTTATGGGAATCCATTCTGTAAAATATCAGCTTTATATAGTGTTTTTGACATGTACAAAGTACCTGATGAAGTACCATTAGTCACATTTCCTATCAAAAAGGTTTCGTTTACTGGTGCTAGGTTGTAGGTGCTTTTAACATCCTCTAAAGTCCATGTTACTAGTCCTGGAGGCTGTGATGTAGTTGAACTTGGTGATGTTATTGTAGTACTTGAATATACTGTAGTAGACGTGCTTGAAGCAGTACTGGAACTTGCAGTAGTACTGCTTGATTCTAGAATTAGATAATACATACCATTTTTAAACTATTAAACATACTTTTATTTTACCCGAAGAAATAGAAGTTGTACTAATTCCTGTAGTACTGTAATCTGTAGGTTTTGAAGACGTGGTATTAACGATAGTTAACAATCCAGAGCTCTCAATAACCTCATTAGAAAGGGGATTTATATTGTATTACCTCAAAACTAGTAAGAGTTTTTATACTAGTAATATCTGTTGATTCAGTACTTTCAGTTGATAATAAAGGTTTCTGACTGCTTGTTGAAGTAGACAAAGTGGTTGAAGAAGGTTGAGTAGTAACTAATTTTTGAGTTGTACTTGATGGTTTTGTAGTTAACTCTGTAATTTTCTCTGTAGAGCTAGATATTGAAGTTGTTGATTTTGTGGTTGTTGTTTGTAAGGGTCTCTTTGTTGTACTAACAGGTTTGGCTAAAATAAAATCTTACCAATAATACCTATATTACATAACAAGTAAAAGGAAGTAAAAGCGACTTTCAACATTTTAAAAAGTCAGTAATGTCAAAAAAGAATGTTATAAATAAAAAATACTTTACATGTAGTTTGTATATAGGAGTTTAGTATATACTTTCGTTGGTTTTACACTTGAAGGCTTTTTAGTAGTCGGCTTTTTCGTACTCGTATAAACTTTCTTAGTTGTAGTTGTCCTTCTTGTTGTACTATACGGTCGTTTAGTACTACTTAAAGCTGGTTTTATAGGTTTGCTTGTTCCCTTAGTTGTAGAAACCGGTTTAAAAGGTTTATTAGTCGTTGCAGCAGTTGGTTTATATGGTTTCTGTGATGGCTTAAATTTGGAAGTTGTTTTTATAGGTGCTACAGTGGTTATATTCGGTTTCCTAGTTGTTGACTGTGATGTAGTTCTGAACGTAGTGGTTTCTATGGAAGAACTACCAACAATTTGGAACGTTTGAAGTTTCTGAGGTACTGTAGTTATTTCTGTTGATGTGCTAGTGGTTACAGGTACTTTTTCGGCAAAAGGTTTAACTGTTGAGCTTAAAGGAAGTGACACAGAGCTGGGATGACTTGTACTTGATGTTTGTTTCTCTGTCCAAGATATACTTGATCCTACTTCCTATAAAATAATAGTTATTTATTATACAGAGTGGTCCGATGAATTTGAAATATGCCAAGTTGTAAAGGTTCAACAGAATTATCGTATTTTTTTCTAGATAAATTCATGACACTGAAAAACATAAAAGAGTTCCTAAATTTATCATTTCCAGCCAAAAACCAAGTCAAGTTTATTTTTTTGTCAATAATGATATGTATTGACTATTTTTATTCCAAGTATCTCGAAAACGGCTGCCCATAGCGACTTTACCAAGATATATTTTTACGTAAAAATGACAGAAAATGTTAATTTATACAGGTATGGACAAAAAAAGAGTTATTACTCTTCAAAAAAGTTAAAAAATATATAGGTGATGAAATGAATTTTTCATGTCAAAAATACCCAAAACCACCTTGATTCAAAATGTCGACTTTAAATGAATGAGTAAGAGGGGGGGTTAATCACGACCTTAAAGATCTATTGTGGTCCCCTTCCTTGAGTCATCACACAGTCCATAACCCATCATACCTCTGTTGTAGAGGGACAGAGTATTTCCCATACTCCCAACAACAGTTCGACTTCATTTCAATTCAGACCCGAAAATCTGACCATTAGTTTTTGGTAGTGGTGGGAGGTTGGTAAGGGGTATGGGTGGGGTTAAAATTCTAAAAAATCGTAACTCCAAAATTACAGTAGCTATGAACGCGGTTTTCAAATTAAGATTAGAATAATATTTGTAACAAATTTGTAATAACATCAAAATCAAATGTGCTGAAGTTTTCGAGATATTAACATATTTTAATATGGGCGGCTAATAAAAGCCCCGGCGCCAATTTTTTACTTATCTTGATAAGTATAACATTATTTACTTACAGTAATCACACTACTAGTACTACTACTAGTACTGCTGGTATTTCCCATTAAAGCAAGCGTAGTATTATGGATCCTCTCTGGTGGTTCTCGACTATCCAAAATGACGTTAGATTCTATGTTATTTCCTAAATCTTTCACTGGTTCGATGTGACAACAGGAACCAAAATAAAATCTGTCTATGCAGGTACCCAAGTGAGTACCGTTGGCTTTTAGACAGTCTATGGCGAACATGCATACGCCACTGAGGTTGTTGTTCTTTCTGGATATACAGGGCAAGTTTCTGATGTTTCTGCCGTTCGTTGCAAAACCTGTAATAAAAGAAAACAGAATAAAAAAATAATAAAAGTATTAATAAAGTGAAATGCCTAGCTCTTGCAGATGATTGACTGTCATCTTAGCAAGAGATAATTAAATTAGACCTGAAATCAGTGATTAAGCGTAAAAAGTAGGCTTAGCGTTTAATGAGAAAAAAGACTAAGTTTATGGAGTGGTCAAATAGGGATTTTAAGAAAGGAAGATGTCTACAAATACAGGCGGAGAGGGAGAAACGATACAAGTTTGAGGAAGTAGATACATTCACGTGTCTAGGAACTGTATTCATAAGGAAACCAAGTGTAACCCATGAAAATATGTCAAGAATAATGGCAGAAAATACAGAGAATTAAGAGCAAAAATATCTCTATAGAAGATTAAATGCTGGAGTGTACCAAAGAAGAATACGACCAATAAACGTCGATGTTCAATGCAACGGAAAATTCGAAGCTACGGATTTGGGAAAGCAAAAATACTGAGGGTATTTTGGTTTGGTTTGTACCAGAAGAACAAAAGAAGAAAGATCAAATTTCAAAAATTTCCAAAAAAAAAAAAAACTAATATATAAAATCCTGCGACTGGACATACTGATTAATCACGATCCTGCTCAAAACCACTCAAAGTATAAGAAGCTCAATTTGGCATACAGGTGTAGAAGAAGGGATTTTCGAAATTCAAGTTCAAAGGGGGTGAAACAACCCATCAAATATTACAATAATTATAAAAATGTTAGAAAAATGTTATTTATACATACATTACAACTGGTTACAATCTAGGGTGCAGCCTCATCTATTTACTGCCAGTTTTCTGCATCATGGAGCCTTTGTTGCGTTGCTGGCAATATTCTTATAGTTATTAATGACACAAGTTCGATACGAACATCATAACGAAACGCGTGTAACGTTCAAAGGTGCAACGTTAAGCCACGAGGCGTTAGCCGAATGGCTTAGTTACACAAAGTTTCATTAAAAAGTTCGTACCGAACGTGCATCATTCAAAATTTAATCAAAAAAAAAAAAAAAAAAAAAAAAAAAAAAAAATTGATTTAATTTAAAATATCAGAGATACTTTCCCGTTCGGTGGATAAGACGAAGGGGTGCAATTGAGTGGCCTCCCCGGTCACCCGACTTGACTCCTTTAGACTTTTTTCTATGGGGACACATAAAAAGTAAAGTATAGCACTCCACCCGCCTCATTAGAAGACCTGCGAAGACGAATTATTGATGTTTGTCGCGAAGTGACCCCGGAAGTTCTTCAGAATGTTCTAGAACGGATTGAAAACAATTTGTTTTACTGTGTGGAGGTTGACGGGCAACATTTTCACCATTTGCTTCATTAATAAGATAAGTTTTTTTTTAATTAACTCAATTTATGCGTTTTTTGCAAAAAGTACTTTTCAAATTTCAATCTTTCATATTTCCAAAATGACCGATTTTTAAAAACGAAGTGGGGAAATATAGAGAATAGAAAGCCCTTTTCATTGAGACGCCACTTGACCCCCCTTCCCATTTGAAAAAAGTTGGGCGATGACACCCCCCTTAGAAGGTTGAAGATTTTGCAATCATTTTTGGGACAAAAGTTGTCCCCCTCACAAACGAAATTGACGTGTTTCTGGATTTTTTGAAAAAAAAATACCCTGGCTGTTATGCCTTGCGGAACGTTTTCGATGGACCACCCTGTATTTCTTTATATGGAAAAATATTTTTCTTAATATAGTCTGTTAAATGGGAGGATCCCTGACACTCCTGTCAGTGATAGTTGTGTTTCTCATTTTAATTCACAGGCAAATTGTATGTTCTATCATTTTGTAGATGTTATCTGTCGAAATCTTCTCTGAGTCGTGGGACAGACTGTACATATAAAGAATTTAGTGTGTAAGGTGAGACTTTAACAATGCAAATATTTTCAGGGCTAAGAGATCTCGATAAAAGAAAAAATATTTTCTTTTTATCGTTTTTTTAAATAAGTTCTTTTTTAAATAAATAACTATATCTTGAAAACCACTTTTTTTCTATGTTATCCTTCCTCTCAATTTAATAAATCCTCTAATTTTATCTACTACCCATGCTGGTATGTATGTTATCAAGATTTGATTTTTTTACTGGAAATTTTAAAAAATTCTATAATTTTCTTCAAAAAATTTAGAATTTTTTTTTTAGAATTTAGAATTAGTTGGAGGGGGGTTAATCACTTCGACCTTACAGATCCATTGTGTCCCCCTTTCTTGAATCATAACTCATCATACAGTCCCAGGGCTTTGACAAAAGCCAGTATCTGGGACGGTTTTATAGAGGGTAGTTCTCCATCTCCAATATCAGTCGTATCTCCAAGTTCATGGCACGAATGGTTGTCGTCTCGGCGCACTCAGTGATGAGGTGTTCTGGTGTTTCCCCATTTTTCCCACAGAATCTGCATTTGCCGTTTTTTCTTAGTTTCAATCTACCGAGGTGTTCATTGAGGAGACTGTCAGTCTCCTGTTAAAAATCCCGTGACAATCCGAAGATTGTTCTTACTTAAATCCAGGAAGATCTTTGATTTTTCTTGGTCGTAAGCTCACAGAAACTTCTTCGAGTGTCTTAGACCGTTGCAAGATTCCCATTCCAGGTTGCGGATGGAGTGTTCCAAGTTCTTGAGTTCCGCTTTTAGTTAGTTACTACTTGGGAAGCAGAACGGTTTTGGTCCAGTTAGTGGAGTGTTCGCTCCTTTTCTAGCCAGATCATTTGCTTTTCCATTGCCTTCTATCCCTTGGTGAGCAGGGACCCAGAGTAGGAGGCCTTTTTTCTTTGACTAATTTATTCAGCTTCTCTATGCATTCTTTGACCAATTTCGAATTGATTGATACTGAGTTGATCGCTTTTAACGCTGCTTGACTATCAGATAAGATGGCTATTTCTTGTTTCCGATAGTTCCTATCTAAAATAAGTTGTACGCATCTTTCGATAGCGTAGATTTCTGCCTGTAGGATGCTAGGGTAGGTCCCCATTGGTTCGGAGTATTTAGTTCTCGACCCAAATACTCCGATCCCTGTTCGCGCATTGGCTTTAGAAGCATCAGTATACCAAGTTATGGTATGGTCTTTTAACTGCTGTGCAGATGTTTCTCTCTTCCAATCCTTTTTATTGCTCAATACTACATTGAGATGTTTCTCAAAGTTGTACGTTCTTGGCATATCGTCCACTGTGAGTTGCAGGAGTGGTATTTCCTTTTTGAGGGTGTTCCAAGCCCCTGATCTGACAATTCTCGCAGTACTAATTCCGTTAGTGACCATTCTAATCATTGTCGCATTGGCATATCTACCAATGACAATGTGCAGTGGTGTTAGATCTAGAATGACCTCCATTGCTGCTGTTGGACAGGTTTGCTGCTGTTGGACATTGCTGCTGTTTCTTCAAAAAATAAAAAATTTTCAAATTTTGTTTGACGAAAAAAATTCCATAGACGTGTTTCTGGGGTCGAAATATACCACCCCTAAAATAGTTACCCCTAACTTAAAACTCACCCTGTATAGTTTATGTAATAAAAAGTTCGTTTCAATACCGGGTGTGTCTCAAAAGAGGTTCACCCCTATAACTTTTTTATTTTTTCAGATAAAAAAACGAGATTTGTATCTTATTATAGACATAAATTAGGATTGATTAACGTATTCAATTGTTTTCGGTCACTTCCTGCTTCACCGAAAATAACTACAACCTTTTATTTTTAAATAGCACCCTCGTAATTTTTTTTACTTTATTCGATAGAAAATAACACTCTGAATAGAATCATATATCATATGTCAACTTTTGACATTTTCGCATATGGTTTATTTCAAATTATAACTTGTGGTTTGTAACGAAAATTTGACTCGAAATGCCAAGTGTGTGGTGTCAAATTATTCGTAAAAAAATGCTTTTTCCAAATATACTAATGAGCCACCATCGTTCCATTTGAAAAATTTTGAGATATGATTAAAAATACGATTTGGGCACTTTCTAATTGGCCAGGACAAGACATTAAAAACATTAGACGATCAAATCTATTTTTCTAAGGCTCCTTGATTAAGACACTCTAGATTGAATTTTAAAATACGATTTTTTATTAAGCGAGAATGACAAAAATTGACATATGATATGTCATTCTATTTAGAATGCCATTTTCTATCGAATAAAGTTAAAAAATACCGAGTGTGCCATTTAAAAATCAAAAGTTGTCGCCATTTCCGATGAAACAGGAAGTGGCCAAAAACAATTGAATACGTCAATAAATCCTAATTTATGTCATATATTAACATACCCAACCTCGTCTTTTTATCTGAAAAAATTAAAAAGTTATAGGGGTGAGCCACTTTTGAGCAGCACCCGGTATACGAGGTTTCTATTTACGCTGCGTTTTCAAGGAACGTAATCTCCGCGTGAAACGAAGGTATGAAAAAAAAACATAAACACAGAGAAAAAAAAAACATTCCAAATAATAAATCAAAACTTATAATTAATAATATCGATTGGTAATCGATTCGAGCAATCCATAATAAATTATTATCGTCCAATATTCGATTTATATACGGTGAGTCGTATCGTTGATGACGTAGTCGCGAGCCACGAAACTGGGCAACGTAACGGGACTTGACCAAGTCTGACCCACTAAAATATTTTACGTGTTATATAATTGACCGGTATACGCAGTGGCGCGCCCGTTGAAGTTCCGTTTGTTCGTGTCTGGCACTGTAGTACCTTAGTGTAGTACCACCTGTCTTTAATTCCGAAATGCAGGGATAGGACTAATTCTACTAATCTGAACAACCATACGGGATATTACAATTACGTTTGAGAAATAATAGATATACATAGCAGATATAGAGTAGCAGAAATACAGAATAGATATACAGGCAGAGCTTCGCAATACATTAAATGATATTAAAAATAAATCTTCAGCAGGGACTGACGGACTTACTCTTAAAATGTTCTCTAGTATGCCGGAATGTACATTAAACCATCTTTCAGCCTTAATTAATATGTCATTTGAAGATGGTGCTTTTCCAAATTGACTTAAGTCGGCGATAATTATTCCTTTGCATAAAGGAGGTGATAAGAGCAAGCTTCCAACTATCGTCCAATTACACTCCTTCCCACGTTATCGAAGATCATGGAGAGACTGGTTAAAGAGGCTTGTATCATTTCTTCTAAAATACAAAATACTCACCCCTTTCAGTTTGGGTTCTTGATGAACAAATGTACAAAATGACGCTATGTTTTCCTTTGTTTTAATAATGTATACTCCAGTCGTATAACAACCGTCTCGTTACAGCAACAATTTTATGTGATTTCTCTAAGGCTTTCGAGTTAGTATTGAATCCTTAACATCCTTACTAACAAATTGCAGTACTATGGTATCAGTGGAACGCCTCTTGAATGGTTTAAGTCCTACCTTAACAACAGAAACCAGCGCGTGAGGGTTGATAAGACTATGTCTTCTTGCAAGCCAATAGAATGCGAAGATTCCTCAGGGTTCAGTTTTGGCCCTATTTTGTTTCTGTTGTTTATCAACGATATTTCTAGTCCCTGGACATCAGTGGTAAAACCTGTCTCTTCGCGGATGATGCTTGTTTCACATGGAGCAGCCCGGACACCACGACACTTCATAGAACCATTTCCAGTGACTTAATCAACGCAAAACATGTTGCGATTCGAACCTCCTGTGTCTCAACGTCTCTAAAACTAAAGTCTTATCATATAAAAGTACGTTGCCACCTTTTCCAGCAGTACTTACCACCATTGACGTCGTTGATTCTGTGAAATTTTTAGGCCTTGTTGCGGACAACTATTTAAAATGGGATTTGCACATCGATGCTTTAGCTAAAAAATTAAGTTCTACCTGTTTCGCACTTAGATGAGTTGCTAATGTGCTTAATTTGTCAACATCTGGGACAGTCTATTATGCCCTTTTTGAGTCGCATCTCCGATACGCACTTCCATTCTGGGGTGCGTGTTGTGCGACTCAATTTAACAGCATTTTCAAATTACAAGAGAGCTGTGCGATATTTACTGAGGCTAACCAGTCGTGCCCACTGCCGGGACTTGTTTAAAAGATATAAAATATTAACTCTTTACCAGCCCCACAACTTCATGCTCGAATCCGTCACCTAGTTCGCAAGCGCACGTATCGAGTATTCCCTCTAGAACAAGTTCAGCGGCTATCAATTAGAGACGCAAGGAGCACTTAACATGTATCTATGACCCTCATTCTGAGTTAGTAAAGGGTTCCATATTGTACAATGCAAAAAATGCACAATCATCTGCCATCTGAAATTGATTCCATTTCATCCTTTCCTGCATTTCGCAGAGCCTTGAGACCATACTTACTGGAGAAAGCCTTTTACGCGGTTAGTGATTTTTTTATTCCATGTCAGGGTTCTAAATTTAACACATTCCTAAATTTAAGAAATGATTTTGTTTTTCTATCCATTTAAATTTAATTATTGACATTATATACAGTTGTTTATTTACATGTATGTTTTATATTTTAATTTAAAAAAAAAAAAAAAAAAAAAAAAAAATAATACAATTTCTATAATTGTATAAGTGTGTTTAGTTTTGTATGTTTGCTGTTAGTTTTATATGTTTTCTATTGTTAAGTAAAGTTTTGTATTTAAAAAAAAAAAAAAAAAAAAAACATAAAATTGTAAAATTTTTTTATGACAATAAAGCAATTTCTTTCTTTCTTTCTTTCTTTCTACATAGATGGAGTACTTCAACCTTTGAATAAGAAGACTAAGGAAGGAGCATAATGCTATCCATGTATTCATGCATGGTGGGCGGAAAAGCCACCATAAAAGCTCTCTAGGGTGGGGATCTTTGACAGTTCTGTTTGACGATTCATTTTGACACATTTGAATTTGATTTGAAATTTGTGGATTTGTCAGTCTTTACGGAGCTTATTTTTATGTTATTTATTATTTATTCTACTACTGATAGTTGTATAAAGGTGGTAAATCTAGATGGAAATTATAGCCTTGCCAAATTAACAGTGACACTATCGCGATTTATCGAAAAGATTCTAAAATAGTTAGTTGTGTAGCGTACGGTAGATCTCAGCAAAATTGAGTGAAATAATGGAACAACTTTTCGCTAGTAAGTGACTATATAATACGTGTAGTAAACCGATCATTTAAGTGAATTTCATAAAAATTAACTAAATTATATATTTTCTTGCATTTTAGCTTTTTATTTATTACTTGTCAAAGATTAGATGTCAAGGAATTTAGATACGTTAATTTGACTTACCTGCTTCAGTAGCGTATCGGATGTTTGTGTTAATAAATACTTATTATAACTTATCTATTTTTATTAGGATTATATATTTTATATAATTTTAATAACTACCAACATTTTATTCACAACGTAAAATGAAAACAACAAATTATTAGATTACCCACGTCTACCCACCATCCTTAGTTTACATTTTAAATAAAATTAGAACGACACTGATAAACCGGAATTTAAGTCGGCCATATTTGAGGCCCATCGCGGTGTACCTAAGATTTTTGATATGCTCCTTCCTTAGTCTTCTTATTCAAAGACTTCAACTATGTATTCGTTAATGTTTACATGCCTACATCGCATTCTGTTATAGCTTATGAGAAAAGAATCCAACTAGGTGGAAATGAAATACTGCCATCACAGGCAGTCTAATATCTGAGAATAACCCTGAACAATAGATATATTAATCCAAAGAATATACCTAGCTAGAAAAAGAATGGACTCTGCCATACTGAAAAATAGTCCTACAGAAGTGGCGCCATCTATTGAGTAGAGCTTGTCTTAAATGGATCGAAGCGCGGGCTTTTTAAATGAGCGTATTTATTGAATTTTACTCTAAAATATAATTAAATTTGATTATTAAATGTTATTTTACACAAATTCAACAATACTAATAACATGTATCGTTGTGATGTGTAAAAATAAAGATTTAACGGTATAGATTTATACAATAATTATTTGATTTTGAATTGATTGTATAATTTATACAATTATTAAATAAAATTAAAATTAGACATGTGAAATATTATTTATTATTTAAGGTTTTATTTAAAAGAAATAAAATATTTAAGCATCGTTTATTATAATAAAACAAGAATAGCATAGTGCATGAAAGTTTTGTAAATGGAGTATTAAATATAAATAGGTACTTAAATGATGGCAAAATAAAAGACTTACATTATATTTTTTAGGGGCCACAAACAAAGGAATTGTCTAATTAAAACGCATATAACAAATTATAGTTTGAAAACATTTTGATAATCATTTATTTACATTAATATTATGATTGGCGCTATGACAACGACAATATTTTATGAGAATTTGACAATAATATGACAATGGCCGTTTGAAACTATGAAAACTACAAAAGGTTAACGCCAGCTAGCAGTAACTAGTAACAACTAGCAACCTAAAAATTAATTGCACTACCACCTAGCGCCTGAGGCTGGAACTATTTTATTTGAAATTTTCGTGGAAACGGTGGAACCGCTTTTGCTATTTCACTTTCCCGCCCCTGGATAATATTATGATTGGCGCTATGACAACGACAATATTTTTTGAGAATTTGACAATAATATGACAATGGCCGTTGGAAACTATGGAAACTACAAAAAAATTCTGATTTAACGCCATCTGGCAATAACTAGTAGCAACTACTTAACCTAAAAATTAATTGCACTACCACATAGTGGCTAGGGCTGGAACTATTTTATTTGAGATTTCCGTGGAAACGGCGGAACCGCTTTTGCTATTTCACTTTCCCGCCCCTGTATTAATCTACGACAATGTCATTATGACACATTTAACATTGTCATTTGGATGTCATTATGGCTTTCATAATAGCACTAGTGTTATTATGAATTCATAATAACACGCAAATTTTAAAATAAGAAACAAGCAAAAAAAGGTACCTAAATACGTTTTTGCTCGTACGCTTGTCTTGATTTTTCGGGAACTAGGGAATCGACAACGTTTTGCGCAATGCCTTCAATATCCGAAGGGACATTTTCAGAATCAGAATCACCCATATTAATATTATTTTTTGCTTTTTGCTAAAACTGAACGTTTAACACAAAATTGAACATCAATAATTGAGTTGTCAAAGCCAAAATGGAAACAACCAACAAGCACAGTTACCACGGCGTCGACTAATATGGGCACCTGATAATTTTGAATTTTAATTTTTATGAGGATATCTCTGATATTTTAAATTAAATCAAATCTCTTTGAATCGTCCCTCGTGTCGCGTCGTAGATTAAATTTTGAATGATACACGTTCGATACGAACTTTTTAATGAAACTTGTGTAACTAAGCCATTCGGCTAACGCCTCGTGGCTTAACGTTGCACCTTTGAACGTTACACGCGTTTCGTTATGATGTTCGTATCGAACTTGTGTCATTAATAACTATAAGAATATTGCCAGCAACGCAACAAAGGCTCCATGATGCAGAAAACTGGCAGTAAATAGATGAGGCTGCACCCTAGATTGTAACCAGTTGTAATGTATGTATAAATAACATTTTTCTAACATTTTATAATGTATGTATACGTGATGGAATGTATACTGGAATTTCGAAAAATCCCTTCTTCTACACCTGTATGCCAAAATTGAGCTTCTTATACTTTGAGTGGTTTGAGCAGGATCGTGATTAATCAGTATGTCAGTCACTTAAGGATTTTATATATTAGTATAAATACTATACTCGGTGCACGATATAGTTGCTTTCTTCTTTTGTTCTTCTGGTACAAACCAAACCAAAAATCTTCCTCAGTATTTTCCTTTCCCAAATCCGTAGCTTCGAATTTTCCGTTGCATTGAACATCGACGTTTATTGGTCGTATTCTTCTTTGGTACACTCCAGCATTTAATCTTCTATAGAGATATTTTTGCTCTTACTAATTCTCTGTATTATTCTGCCATTATTCTTGACATATTTTCATGGGTTACACTTGGTTTCCTTATGAATACAGTTCCTAGACACGTGAATGTATCTACTTCCTCAAACTTGTATCGTTTCTCCCTCTCCGCCTGTATTTGTAGACATCTTCCTTTCTTAAAATCCCTATTTGACCACTCCATAAACTTAGTCTTTTTTCTCATTAAACGCTAAGCCTACTTTTTACGCTTAATCACTGATTTCAGGTCTAATTTAATTATCTCTTGCTAAGATAATAATTAAATCATCTGCAAGAGCTAGGCATTTCACTTTATTAATACTTTTTATTATTTTTTTATTCTGTTTTCTTTTATTACAGGTTTTGCAACGAACGGCAGAAACATCAGAAACTTACCTTGTATATCTAGAAAGAACAACAATCTCAGTGGCGTATGCATGTTCGCCATAGACTGTCTAAAAGCCAACGGTACTCACTTGGGTACCTGCATAGACAGATTTTACTTTGGTTCCTGTTGCCACATCGAACCAGTGAAAGATTTAGGAAATAACATAGAATCTAACGTCATTTTGGATAGTCGAGAACCACCAGAGAGGATCCATAATACTACGCTTGCTTTAATGGGAAATACCAGCAGTACTAGTAGTAGTACTGAAACCAGTGTGATTACTGTAAGTAAATAATGTTATACTTATCAAGATAAGTAAAAAAAAATTGGCGCCGGGAGGCACGTATAGCCGCCCATATTAAAATATGTTAATATCTCGAAAACTTCAACTTTGACTGATTTTGATGTTATTACAAATTTTGTTGCAAATATTATTCCTAATCTTAATTTGAAAACCGCGTTTCGCTAGCTACTGTAATTTTGGAGTTACGATTTTTTTAAATTTTTAACCCCCTCCCATACCCCCTTACCAACCTCCACCCCCACCAAAAACTAATGGTCAGATTTTCGGGTCTGAATTGAAATGAAGTCGAACTGTTGTTAGAGGAGGATGGGAAATACCCTGTCCCCTCTACAACAGGGGTATGATGGGTTATAGACTGTGTGATGACTCAAGGAAGGGGACCACAATAGATCTTTAAGGTCGCAGTGATTAACCCCCCTCTTACTCATTCTACATTCTACCTTACAAAAGTCGACATTTGAATCAAAATTGGTTTTTGGGTATTTTTTGACATGAAAAATTCATTTCATCACCTATATATTTTTTAACTTTTTTGAAGAGTAATATCTTTTTGTCCATACCTGTATAAATTATACATTTCTGTCATTTTTTACGTAAAAAATATATCTTGGTAAAAGTCGCTATGGGCAGCCGTTTTCGAGATACTTGGAATAGAAATAGTCAATACATATCATTATTGACAAAAAATAAACTTGTTGACTGGTTATTTGGCTGAAATGATAAATTTAGGAACTCTTTTATGTTTTTCAGTTAATCATGAATTTATCTAGAAAAAAATACGATAATTCTGTTGAACCTTTGGCATAAACATATTTCAAATTCATCGGACCACTCTGTATAATAAATAACTATTATTTTATAGGAAGTAGGATCAAGTATATCTTGGACAGAGAAACAAACATCAAGTACAAGTCATCCCAGCTCTGTGTCACTTCCTTTAAGCTCAACAGTTAAACCCTTTGCTGAAAAAGTACCTGTAACCATTAGCACATCAACCGAAATAACTACAGTACCTCAGAAACTTCAAACGTTCCAAATTGTTGGTAGTTCTTCCATAGAAACCACTACGTTCAGAACTACATCACAGTCAACAACTAGGAAACCGAATATAACCACTGTAGCACCTATAAAAACAACTTCCAAATTTAAGCCATCACAGAAACCATATAAACCAACTGCTGCAACGACTAATAAACCTTTTAAACCGGTTTCTACAACTAAGGGAACAAGCAAACCTATAAAACCAGCTTTAAGTAGTACTAAACGACCGTATAGTACAACAAGAAGGACAACTACAACTAAGAAAGTTTATACGAGTACGAAAAAGCCGACTACTAAAAAGCCTTCAAGTGTAAAACCAACGAAAGTATATACTAAACCTCCTATACAAACTACATGTAAGTATTTTTATTTATAACATTCTTTTTTGGCATTACTGACTTTTTAAAATGTTGAAAGTCACTTTTACTTCCTTTTAATTTTTCTAAACTTAACATTAATGAAACACTTCTTTAATTTTTCTAAACTTAACATTAATGAAACACTTCTTTACTTGTTATGTAATATAGGTATTATTAGTAAGATTTTATTTTAGCCAAACCTGTTAGTACAACAAAGAGACCCTTACAAACAACAACCACAAAATCAACAACTTCAATATCTAGCTCTACAGAGAAAATTACAGAGTCAACTACAAAACCATCAAGTACAACTCAAAAATTAGTTACTACTCAACCTTCATCAACCACTTTGTCTACTTCAACAAGCAGTCAGAAACCTTTATTATCAACTGAAAGTACTGAATCAACAGATATTACTAGTATAAAAAATATTACTAGTTTTGAGAGTAGTACAACTATAAATCCCCTTTCTAATGAGGTTATTGAGAGCTCTGGATTGTTAACTATCGTTAATACCACGTCTTCAAAACCTACAGATTACAGTACTACAGGAATTAGTACAACTTCTATTTCTTCGGGTAAAATAAAAGTATGTTTAATAGTTTAAAAATGGTAATAATATTATCTAATTCTAGAATCAAGCAGTACTACTGCAAGTTCCAGTACTGCTTCAAGCACGTCTACTACAGTATATTCAAGTACTACAATAACATCACCAAGTTCAACTACATCACAGCCTCCAGGACTAGTAACATGGACTTTAGAGGATGTTAAAAACACCACAACCCTAGCACCAGTAAACGAAACCTTTTTGATAGGAAATGTGACTAATGGTACTTCATCAGGTACTTTGTACATGTCAAAAACACTATATAAAGCTGATATTTTACAGAATGGATTCCCATAACCACGACTGATAGTTGGGTACTGCTTCCAAGTGTTACTACTACGTCAGATCAACAGAAAAACGAATCTACCTCTAGTACTAGCTCAATAGAACCTGTGTCTACATCAGAATCAACATCTAGTCCAGGTTTAGTAGAAGTACCAGTTCCAACAACCATCAAGGAACCTATATCGCCAACCACAGAAGAGTATGTCGTGTCTTTGACAACAACAGCTGCTCCAAATGTCACTGATATAGTAAATGTCAGTGGTACTGAGAGTTCAACGTCAACGAGTACTGGTATCATGACGTCTACTACAGAAGAAGTTACGAAAAAGCCAGTGAATATGAGCGATTTTACAGATGGTAAGTCTGCTGAAAAAATTTTCGTATTTCTTTTTATGTTTTTTCGTTGGTAATGTGAATATAATTATCCAGTATGATAGAGAAGGATGGTAAGATAATAATATAAGAGGATTATTAGTAATAAAGAAGAGTATGAAAATTCCAAATTAAATTTTAAAGCAGGGTCGGATTTGGGAATTTTTAATATCTCAATAATCATATAGGCAGATGGTAGTGTTATCTACAGGGTTGTTCACCACATACGATACGGAGTATTGTAGCTAAACGATGAGATTTTTACAAATTGTAAGTTTTGGGTTCGATGAAGGACTATTAGAGGTACAATTTAAAAATAATTTTACAAGATACAGAGTGTCCCAAATAAGTAAAAAATATCAAAGTTGTATTTTTTTAAATGGAACACCCTGTATGTTATTACATTTTTAGTTTCTACGATTAAAATAAAGGTAAATTTGATTAAGATTTATTATACTTAAACCTTACCGTTTTTGAAATATTTTCAATTTTGTGAAATTGCAGTATAAATTTTAAGGCTTCATTTCTCCCAGGGTATCAAAGTTTTTAATACTAAATATTTACTGAAGTTTATTTACTGATCAGTTATTGTGTTGCAATAATAAAAATAATACTACCTTATACAGAGTCTCTAAAAATTTATTTTAAATAATTATTAGCTTCAAACGGCAATAACTTGTTTAATTTAAATGGAACACCCTGTATATTTTACGAGAATCAGATGCACAATTTAATTGTCTATCAAATTATATTATACCATTTTTTTCCTATTTCTTTAAGTTTCCGTAGAAAATGCATTTTCTTGTAATTTAGAACTTATTTATCAATATACCCATGGACTATTGACATTTTAGATTATTTTTAAAGATGTACCAAATTTTTAAAGAGTACAGATACTAATATTGTTGATATAATTCGTTTATTTCATTAAAAAATAAAAAAAACTGTTTAAATATTTGTTAAAGAGGACCAATTAATATGATTCCAGTATTCAAACTACATTAATTGACTGTTTGCGTTGATTAATAATAATTGCTCCAAATACTAAAAAACTAAATTTTGTATCTGTATTAGACAGTGTGGTAAAAAGTAACACCTTAAAAAATGATATTTCATTTTTAACCAATGCTTATTTATAACAACAGATATATTCATTTTCATAAATTATTATTATATTGATTTCTGATTCAAATCCACATTTATTTAGAATAATAATTTATTAACGAACATAAGTATGTAATTAATTAGTATTTGAGCGGAAATAATGGTGGTATATTTAATTAATGGTATACTCTTTTATAAAGATTTAAATAGTTTTCTTTCTTCATACAAATGGGCTAGTAATATTATAATTTTGCTAAAAACGATAATATTACTAGCCTGTACATTTTGTACATTTGCTGCTTTAAAAACAATTTAAAATGTCAATATTCCATGGGTATATTGATAAATGAGGTCTAAATTATAAGAAAATGCATTTTCTACGAAAACTTGAAGGGATAGGTAAAAAGTGGTATAATACAATTTGATAGACAATTAAATTATGCATCTGATTTTCCTAAAATATACAGGGCGTTCCATTTAAATTAAACAAGTTATTGCCGTTTAAATCTAGAAATAATTTAAAATAATTTTTTAGACGCTCTGTATGAGGTGGTATTATTTTTATTATTGCAACACAATAACTGATCAATAAATAGACTTCAGTAAATATTTAGTATTAAAAACTCTCATACCCTTGGAGAAATGAAGCCTTTTTTTACTGCAATTTAATTAAAAAACACAATTTCTTGATAATATGGCAACATAGGTAGTAGATTAAATTTTTAAGAAAGAAACCCCCTAGAAGATCCGGTGGTTCTCAAAATTGAAGCACAAAATTTTCGAAGTAAAATAACTCAGATATTTTGGACTTATTTGAAAAACGACAAAAAGAAAATACGTTTCTTTTATCGAGATTTACCAGCCCGAAAAATATTTGCACTTATTTAAGACTCACCCTGTATAATTGCTAGATAATTTATTTATTTATTTATTTGCTACTAGCTGAAATGTAACAACACTGAATTCGTCCCTGTTCGCGATCCAGTTCTTCGAACTTTTTCAAGGTAAATTACGTCCTACACGATCGAAATAAAATACTATAAGAAGAAGCGGCTGAGAACAAGCAACAGCAACTACATACACTAGAGAAGGAAAACAAATAACCAGAAAAAAAACAGGGGATTACACATAAAAAAGCTAAGCAGACCGGACAATCAAATGCATGTTTAGGGATGTTCGTTTCCCAAAAAATCGATAGTTTAAAGCTACAATAGACAACCTAACCTAACTTTTAACTTTTTTACTAATTATACTTCAAAATTTGCGAGGAATGTCATTTTGGCCTTTGATTATCATCCGTCAAGAGAAAATTTGGTTAGAAATCAAAAGTTTATTGTTTTATTAGGCTTTCATTCTATGGATACAACTGATTGCTGCAGGCAGTTGCTAGAATATTCTGTTAATTATAATTTAATTATCAATATTTTTATCGTAAAAATCGAGATCGATAATTTCCTAAAAAAATATCGATATCGATAATTTTCAATTCAAAAGTTATATTGATATAGATAATTTTATAAAAAAATATCGATACCGATATTTTTAGAGAAATAAAAAAAGAGAAAATCTCAAAAGTTCATAATTTGGTTTTACGTCAATGTACCAAATTTCCGAAAATATTTAGTTTTCTTTTTTACCAGGCTTTTTTTCGGACATCGATATCAATATGTTTACAGTAAAATATTTACAAATATCGATAATTTTGTAAAAAATATATCGATATCAATATATTTTGTTGAAAAATGTCAAAGAGAAAATTTCCGAAAAATATCTAGTTTTCTGATTTACCTGGCCGTTTTTCGGAGACCGATATCAGTATGTTTAAAGTAAAATTATCGACATCAAAAATTCTGCAAAAATAAATATATAATATTATATCATCTGAATACCTATACAGGGTGTCTCAGAAATAAGTGCAAGTATTTTAACTGGTAGTATAGTTCAACCCTAGAAACACGTCTATGGGTTTTTTTTTCGCGCATTTCATTTTGAAAATTCGATTTGTTTTTATTTTTTTTAGTTTTTAGTTAAAAAACGTAATTTCTTGATAATATGGCAACATAGGTATTAGATTAAATATACAAGAAAGAAAATCCAGAAAAGATCCGGTGGTTCTCAAAATTTTAGCAAAAAATCATTTTTTTTGGAAATTTTCAAAGTAAAATAACTCCGTAATTTTGGACTAATTTGAAAAACGATAAAGGGAAAATATGTTTCTTTTATCGATATCTACCACCCCTTAAAATACTTGCACTTATTTCTGGGACACCCTGTATATTATTTACAAAAATCAAATTTTGGATAAATCAAAGAGAAAAGAAAAATTTATTAATTTCTGTTTTACCCGGCTGTTTTCCAGACATCGATATCAATATATACCGTAAAAATATCGAATACGATAATTTTCTAAAAAATATCGATATCGATAATTTCAAGAAAATATCGATATCGATATTTTCGTAAAAAAAATCAATGTGAATAATTAAAAAAAATAGCGATATCGATATTCCGTAAAAATATCGATAAAACTAATTTTCCTAAAAAATGTCGATATTGATAATATTAAAAATAATATCGATATCGATATTTCAAAATATCGATATTGCCTGACATCCCTATATTTTCATATTCCGAGCCGTAAAAAACCGTAAACCGGACAATCGAACGTACGTTGTACGCTTCCAGCTCTTGTTCTTTGGAAGCTCATCGGGCGCTATTCAACAACACAATTAAGCTTTTTTCTGGCCGTGTAAACTTCGTTAGCGGACCGTGTACTCGTCGCTTATGGCTTGCGTGAGTGCGATTGTGTGAGTGCGCGTGTATTTTGTGTGCAAATGTGCGCGTCGGCTTTTAAATCCCATGGGGAATTTAATGTCGTTTGTATGTAGATATACGTTCGTCATTATATACCGGGTGAAATGAGTATAAACACTTTTATGCGATTTTTTTACGAATATTGCCATATTGAAAGGGACGCCTAATAATCAAAATTATATAAATAATCTTCTACATTTATACTTTTAACTTATAATAACTTAATAACTTTTTACTTATTTTTGTCAGAATATGATGCCGAAGTTTCCGGAATAAAGTTCAGACCACCCTGTATATACTGTATGATCAAAAAAAACGGCGTCAGCGATGGCTTTGAAATGAGGATCGTTGTCATTTTATATGTTAAATTATATGGGGAATGTCACTGATCGTCATTTCCAAGCCGTTTTTTTTTCGATCATACAGTATATGAAAAATTAAATATGTGAGACCTTTGTAGATCTAGAAATGCCGTGAACCATGTGAAAATTCTACTTTTATGGATATATTATCATGCCTTTTTTGCATGAGCGAAAATATATTATTAAGAGGAAATAATATACCTACTGTGTGCTTTTATTTGAATACAATAGTGGAGGAAATGGTTCTCTTATCATACGTATAATTAATTACATTAATAAGTTCAATTATTACATCTTCCGTGTAATAATTAAAAACAATATTTCAGTTTGAACTCATAATAATTGAAATTATGTCAAACATGTAAATGAAAAAGCAAAAATATTGTTCTTATTTTTAGAAAATTCTACACTATAGTTTACCTTTTCCGCCATTTTTATTGATATGTATATAAGGTGTTTCTAAAATAAGGGCAACTATTTTAATGGATGATCTGGATAGAAGAAACATATTTTCTGTTTATCATCATTTAAAATAAATTGACAATAACCGAGTTATCTAATTAACTGAAAATTTAAGAGATAATGCTGACATTTTGAGAACCACCGGTATCAATCAGCTGGCTTTTAGCTAAATGTCACTGACAAAAATTAAATTAATTTTCCTAATTTTTCCTGCATTGCCACTTGAGGGATTTGATTCTGTGGCCTTCGCAAAGTATATCTCCTCTTTCTGTAAAATATCAAGCAAAATTTTAAACAATTATTTTGCAAAAGAAATCTCATGGGCGTGTTTCTGGAGGTCGTAAATGCCAGTTAAAATACTTGCACTTATACAATAATAGACCCCCGTATATTATTTGAATTACGTGCTTGCAGGAAACTACAAATTGAATTTTAAAAATAAAGCAGCTTTAAATTAGGAAAAATAGTCTAATTAAATGTTTAATTTATTCCTTGTTCCCTGACTCCAACTCTGTTGTATTAAAAATTATTACCTTCAACATTTTTTTCAAATTAAACCTGTTTTAAATTACATAACAGTTGTATAAAAAAAAATAGCCATTAAAGACCAATTTACTTCTTTATGTTACGTTATAAACAGTCCTAGTAATTAAATGTTGTCTATTTGATACCTTAGACCTTAGATGTTCATGGCGAACCGGTGAATGAAGCGCTGATGGGACACCCGGTATAGCTTCACCACCCCTAGTAATTATTGTAACACATTGTAAAAGTAAATAACGTTATCACCTACTACTAAATATAAGCATTTTGGATTAAATGTTTATTCAAGAACTTACCATCCTTCTCACAGTTATTATACTCCATACATTCTCCATAAAAGTAACAGATTTAAAAAATGTTTCAATTACGACAGTATGCGGTAGGAGAATGTGGCCAGAGGCCAGGATAGTCGGAGGAGAAAAATCCAGCTTTGGAAAATGGCCTTGGCAGATATCCCTCAGACAATGGAGAACCTCCACGTACCTACACAAGTGCGGTGCAGCTTTGCTGAACGAGAATTGGGCTATAACAGCTGCCCATTGCGTTGACAAGTAAGTACAAAACATTTTTCTTTATACTTGTTAATGTTTCTTGGATTGAAATGATCTTGTTCTAGATAAAATTAAATTTTTAATGATCTAAACAATAGAGCTATTTTTTATATTACCTATCAGTGTCAAAGTTTAACTTTTATTGTTGTGAACATTCTACAAAACAATTATTGATCTTTTAGCTATTAGAACCTAGATGAGACATTATTTTTAAAATATAGTGGATTCCATGTTACCCCTATCTATTTCACATTACCCTAATTTACTGATAACATTTTACTTTAACATTTTTCTGAGTTTATTTATTCCAATCCATTTAAACTATTTCTCTTCCACAGCGTACCTCCAAGTGACCTTCTACTTCGACTGGGAGAACACGATCTCTCCACCGAAGGAGAACCCTACCTTCATGAAGAAAGAAGAGTCCAGATAGTAGCCTCTCATCCAAACTTCGACCCTAGGACGTTCGAGTACGACTTGGCATTGCTCAGGTTCTACGAACCAGTTCAGTTTCAACCTAACATCATTCCAATCTGTGTTCCTACTGAAGACGAGAACTTTGTTGGAAGAACTGCTTATGTAACTGGATGGGGAAGATTATATGAAGGTATGTTTCATTTAACACATGCATGTGCAGTTTTATATGGTTCCCGGTGGTTCCAATACTGCAGCCGGCAGTCCGCCAGCCAACTGTTTTGAGTAAAATAAAAATAGTTTTAGTAGGTACCTATTTTTGTACTGATTTTGTCCTTTTCTTCCTGTTGTTACGGAGCCTTGATGTCCCAAATAGCAATTGTCGCTTGCGATCCAGAGCTCTAGATAACGTACGAAATGCTGTCGGTGTCCCCATTAGAAAAAATGACGCTTCATTACAACCAACTCTTCATGAATGAATGTCTTGCTCTATTTTATAAGCTCAGTAATTGTAGGGATTATAAATAAATAAATAAATAAATAAATGCCTTTATTGTCAAAAAAAATTTTTTACACTCTGTAGACAAAGGTAAACCAACAAACAAAGTAAAAAAACAAGGTACACAAAAACAAACAAAAAGATAATACAAACATTATACAAATAATATTGTCAGTCTTATTGTTAAATAAACAATTTATAAACATTTATAAATGTCAAAGAACAAAAAAATAAAATAATATTCAAAAAATATTTAGCTAGTTAATAGTAAAATATCAATGACCTCAAAATAAATTATTTGGATGTCATTAGTAAATATAGCAATAGTAAACATTAGACCAGTGTTTACAAGATCAAATTCGATTTTCAAAATATACCATTTTACGCGTAGAAAGCCTTGTCTAGTAAATAAGAGCTCACGCTTTAAAATGAAGAAATGATGTTATGGATTTGATTTCAAAATGGCAGGTGATTGTGCATTTTTTTTTCGAGTTGTAGAAGCAATATTGAACTTTTAACTAACTCTGGAGCGTGGGGTAGATAAAGATCTTGCTCCGCGTTCCTGAGTGGATAAGTGTGAGATGGCCTTCTTTGAGAAGTTGGCTACATGTTTACGTATTAGGCAAACGGATTCAAATATAAATAAGGAAGGAAGAGTCATTATTTTTACCAAAAAGTTCCCGCAATGAGTTCTGCTGTTTAACCCAGTGAACACGAACATCTCGAAAAATAAATAAATCTGAGCCCACAACACGTACCCTGAATGGAAGGGCATACCTGAGGTGCGACTCAAAAAGTGCATAATAAACAGCTCTAGCCACTGACAAGTTAAGCTCACACTTCACAGATGTTAATGCAAAACAGGCAGAGCTCGATTTTTTCGACAAAGCTTCGATATGTATGTCCCATTTCAGAATTGTCCACAACAAGCCCCAGGAATCTTACAGATTTGACGACGTCAATGGTGGTGTTGTTAAGTACAAAAGGCTGCGACGAGTTTTTATACGACAAAGCTTTAGTTTTAGAAATGTCGAGACTCAGGAGGTTCGAATCGCACCAAGATTTAATGGTGATTAAGTTATTTGATATAATCCTATGAAGTGCCGTGAGGTCCTTGTTGCTCCAAGTGAAGCTAGTGTCGTCCGCAAAAAGACATATTTTGCCACTGATGTTTATGTTAGCAATGTCGTTAATAAAAAGAAGAAACAAAAAATAGGGGCTAGTACTGAGCCTTGTGGTACTCCACATTCTATTGGCTTGTTAGAAGACAACGTGGTATGCACCCTCACAAGTTGACTTCTGTTGCTCAGATACGACTTTAAACCATTCGAGAGATGATCCCCTGAACCCATAGTGCTGCAGTTTATTAATTAAGATCTTATGATTTACACAATCGAACGCCTTAGAAAAATCACAGAAAAATTGTTGCTGTAGAATGATGGTTGTTTAGGCTGGAGTAAACTTTATTAAGGAGGGAAACATAGCGTCATTTGTGGACTTGTTAGATTTATTAAAATATTATTCGTCGTATTAGTCGGTGATACATCTCACCAAAACGTTGTATAAATTTCAAATATAAAGCCAATATTAGTTAGTAATTATTATTATTAGTAAAGTATATTATACCTGGTGTGTCTCAAAAGTGGCTCGCCCCTAACTTTTTTTATTTTTTCAGATAAACAACGAGATTTGGTATATTAGAATATGAAATAAATTGGGATTTATTGACATGTTCATTTGTTTTCTGTCACTTCCTGGTTTCACCGGAAATGACTAAAAGTGAATTTTAAATGGCACCTTCGGTATTTTTTTTACTTTATTCCTCGATAGAAAATGACACTCTGAATAGAATGACATATCATATATGTCAACTTTTACATTTTTGTATTATGGTTTGGAATTGTAACATGCGGAAATTATTCGTTAAAAAAAATGCTTTTTTCAAAATATGCTACTGAGCCACCCTCGTTCCATTTGAAAAATTGAGATATGGGTTAAAAAAATGATTTGGGCATCTTTTAAACGGCCAGGATAAGACACTAAAACATTAGACGACTCAAAATTTTATTTTTCCAAGGCTCCTTTGATTAAAAATTTTAGAGTTTTTAACATGTCATGGCACTTCTAGATTGAAATGAAAAATATACCTTATTTCTTTATGAATATATCAAAAGTTATTATTGATAAGTCATCGGATTCAGTGGTTGGCTTTTCAATCGAATAATGTAAAAATACCAAGGGTGCCATTTATAAATCAAAAGCGAAGTCATTTACGGTGAAACAGGAAGTGACCGAAAAACAATGAATATGTCAATCAATCCCAATTTATGTCATATACTATCATACTAAGTCTCATTTTTTTATCTGAAAAAGTTATAGGAGGTGGTTTCAATTTTTGAGAGGCAACCGGTATTTCATAATATTATATTATCACATTATATCTACCCCTTTCAAATAAAATTAATTTTTTCAATTCTCACCAATAATTGTATTTTCTCATACAGATGGACCTCTACCGAGCGTTCTGCAAGAAGTGTCCGTACCAGTGATCAACAATTCAGTCTGCGAAACAATGTACCGATCTGCAGGGTACATTGAGCACATCCCCAACATATTTATATGCGCAGGATGGAGAAAAGGTGGTTTTGACTCATGCGAGGGTGATTCAGGAGGACCAATGGTCATACAAAGAGAGGACAAAAGGTTTGGACATGTCTGCCAAATTGAATTCGCTGAGCTGCTTAACTATTTTACAACCTTTTCTGGAATTTGCAATAATCTGACTATAAATTTAAGCTCTGACACAATATCCTTCCTGATTTAGTACCTCTAAACAAAACCGATAGATTAAATAATAAATAACATAGAATAATGCTCGAAAAAGCACAACAGATCCGCAAAATTTCAAATCGATTTCAAATATGTCAATTGAAACGTCACACAAAACCGTCAAAGATGGAATCATGATGTCAATCCCGCCTCTAATGCATGAATATAATATACACCTTATGATCGAAAAAAAACGGCGTCAAAGACGGCTGGGTAATGATAATCAAATATAATTTTGACGAGGTCAATCTCTAGATGTTGTTTACTTTGACAAGTTTTATGTCAATTTTTAGTAGACCGTCTAGAGATTAACCCCGCCAAAAGTATCATCGACTGTCATTCCCCTGCCGTCTTTGACGGCGTTTCTTTTCAATCGTATGGTATAAATACTATTAGACATCTTTCATAGTCTTTTATTTAAAGGAACAGGAACGAATTAATATATTTGACAATGGTATTTTTTAAAAACCATTATCGCCATGACTACGGTGATGAGTGTTAGGCAGTTTTTTTTTTCATTCGTCGTCATTTTAGCGCCAAAATACAGGGTGTTTCAAAACAAATGCGAAAAACTTCAGGGGGTGATTCCTTGTTCAAAATAAAGGGTAGTTTGCTTCATAAACGTTGGGTCAAAAGTCAACCATTAGGGAGATATTGCGGTACAAAGATGGCGGAAAAATAAGGTTTTTATTTTTTACCTTGAAAACGAACAGAGATAGACAAATAAAATTTTATGGAAGCATTACTGTTATGAAAACACACTTTCAGGTAATTTTTTCTTTTTTTAAAATGAGTGGAAGGGGTTGAAATAAACTACCCCTATCAATCTTGTTAACGAAATTTAAAGAAAAATCTTATCAAACACATGCAAAAAAATTAATTTGGATAGTTTAGTTTGTTTAGAAACTTTTTATCTCTTGTATTTTTTGATAAAACTCGCCGATTTGAAATTAAAAATAAAATGTAAAGCATTACATGTCAGGACAAAAAACATTTTCTGATAAAGAATCTAGTGGGCTGCTGTAATTTTTTACGAAAAATCTAGTCGGCCGCTGTTACTTTTAGGATATTCCTAATATTATTTTTTATTTGACATTACTCTACTGCAATACGCTATTATCTAGATGATTATTATTATCGTTATTATCACTAGATTCTTAATCTAAAAATGTTTTTGTCCTGACATGTAATGCTTTACATTTTATTTTTAATTTCGAATCGGTGAGTTTTATCAAAAAAACACAAGAGGTAAAAAGTTTCTAAACAAACTAAACTGTCCAAATTAAAGAATTTGCATGTGTTTGATAAGATTTTTCTTTAAATTTCGTTAACAAGAATGATAGGGTAGTTTATTTCAACCCCTTCCACTCATTTTAAAAAAAAGTAAAAATTACCTGAAAGTGTGTTTTCATAACAGTAATGCTTCCATAAAATTTCATTAGTCTATCTCTTTTCGTTTTCAAGATAAAAAATAAAAACATTATTTTTCCGCCATCTTTGTACCGCGATATTTCCCTAATGGTTGACTTTTGACCCAACGTTTATAAAGCAAACTACCCTTTATTTTGAACAAGGAATTACCCCCTAAAGTTTTTCGCATTCGTTTTGAAACACCCTGTATAGATAATCTATTTTTATGATCATTATTTTCTATTAGTAAAATCTCTTTAAATATATATATTTTTTTAAATCTTTATGGTAATTTTTTTTTAATATGTTTTTATATTTTATTTATATTTAATATTTTCTTTAATTTAATTTTGTTTTATTTTTTAGGTTTCTTTTAGCCGGCATCATATCTTGGGGTATAGGCTGTGCAGAACCGAACCAACCGGGAGTCTATACTAGGATCAGCGAGTTTAGAGTGTGGATCAATAAAATTCTACAGTTCTAGAACCAAACGAAAAAAAAACGAACCAAACGACAAATACAAAGCGCGAGTGTTTTTATAAACATTAAAAAACGTACTTTTTGTGATAAAACAAGATTTTCTCAAAGAAAAAAAATGACATTTAATAAGTGAACTAAGTATCGAATTATTGTACAGTATTTTTTCTACGACTTAGAGTTAAGAAACAAACAAAAAAACAGAAATTCTGATATTATATTTATTTATTTTAATATTATGCACAAAATACCTTTTATCACCTAATATTTATTAAATATATAGTAGATATATTTTTTTCTTTATTTAACAGCATTAAGAATAAAATAGCTCATTTTTCTTGCTCATGTCACATTTTATATTCCCATAGTATATTAAGTAAAAAAAAATACAAATAACTTTAATATATAGACTGAAGAATATATATGTTATTCAAAAAAAGTTTTAAATATATGTTTTTTACGTTAATTGTACATAGTAAATTAATGGTGCCTGTAACTACAGTTTTTTATGTAGAAAAACCAACAATAAAACATTATTTATAGTATCTACGGATTTTTATTTAATATAATTTTCTTTTTATAACACACAGTGCCATCTATGTACAAACTAATCGCACTAATAACTCAATGAATAAGAATTTAAACAACCTTAAGGTACTTTGAGTTTACGGTCTAATTGTTTAGATGGCAGCACGATCAGTTTACTGTAAATTTATGAGAAACAATCTTCGAGTCCTTCACCATTTGTCATGAATACCATAGTGCACTAAGTGCCAGGGGCGGATGGGCCATATGGAAAAACGGGAAAATTCCCGGTGGGCCGGTGGGCCGGTCCCGATCAGAGCTCAAAAAATATTGGATTAGCAAAAATTAAACGGTTAATCTTCTAACTAAAGTGACGTAAAATCCTTAGTGATCCATAACTAACTAATCAATTTACATCAGTATAATCGTCAGTTGCTTTTAAACATAAACACCAATTTGTAAAATAACTATTGTAAAATGTCTTTCTCTGGGACACGTATAATTTTAATAATCATCTGTTGTTTGTTCGGTTTGAAAATTTTTATTATACAAGGTGAGTCTATAAGTGCAAATATTTTCAGAGCTGGTAGATCTCAATAAAATAAACATAATATATTCTCTTTATCGAGTTTCAAATAAGTTCAATCGAGTTATTAAAGTTTGGAAATTTAAAAAAAAAATTGAGCCACCTCAATTTTTCGGTATTCGCATCTCTTTTAGTGCCGTAATATTAGAGATTAAGAAACTATACCGTGGGAAAATTTGCGGTGAGCAGGAAGTTCTAAAAAGTTTACTAAAATATACAGGAAAATTTAAAAGAAAATGCTCGATTTTTAACATATTTTTTTGCAAAAAAAACCTCATAGACCTGGGGTCCTGGGGTCGAAATATACCACCCCTGAAAATATTTGCACTTATTTAAGACCCACCCTGTATAGTTTTACCCACTATTCTTTTATTAATAACTAATAAATATGATTGGCAGCAAAAAAAAGAATGAATAACATTAGGTGAATTTAAATAGCCTCGATCTAAATGTATACTAAGAATACGGTAGCGTAGATTAACAACTGGGGAACTGGGTGCAATATTTTTCCAGCTCCCTTTGTAAAATGGTAGACGAAGTTGACGCGAACTCTCTGCGGTTGACGGAAAAAACATATCTATGGTTTGCTTGAATTGGGGACGGACTAAAAAGTCCAAATCTGAGAACTAAAAGCCAAGTCTAAATTGTTGTTTAAAATGTTGCTAAAATGAATTTGCTAAAAATTACTGAGACAGCAGAGAAGAGTTAATAAGGTTTAACCTAGATTAGATAATAAAATATTAATATGTCTCGAAAATCCAAATATTCTTATTATGAACTGTAACATATTATTACATCAGAATACATTTATATCCACTGTCTAGGCATTGCCTAAGTATTTTTCGTTTGAGTCATGGCATTATCATACAAGATGCCAAATGTAGAAAAGTATGGAGGAAAAGTTTCGTGATAAGAACTATATAATAACCTAAAAAATGCTGCAGTTTTAATGGCGACCGCGGTTCATTCCGTTAAAAAACACGCGTGTACATCGAGGAAGCTGCTGCTGTAGCAGAAAAGAGAGAATTTCTTTCTACAATGTGTAAGAAAGTATATACCCGAAAAGCTAAAAGTAATATATTTCACAGAGGATTGGGTCAGCTGAAATGAATGAATCAGAAAGCCTTAAAGTTTCTCAAAATCATGACTGAAAATCGTGCCTATTCAAGATCAAATTACCGTGATCGATAATGGAAATAAAGCAGTAGAAACCTGTAAAACTGAGCCATTTTGTAGTAAAATTCAGATGTCCGACCCAAATTGGTCTTTACGAAAATTTTGATCAAGACAATTTTTTTTTTTTAACCGGAGGCAAAAGAACTTTTTCGCACGACCGAAAAAGACTCTTAATTATATATTAATAAATAAAATATGTTTCTTCGTTATGGTCATTTTGTTTTTGTGGACTCGGGCCGGTTGCCTCTTTTTCCCGGGCCGGTTTCCACGTCCCCATCCACCCCTGCTAAGTGCAGACTTAATAATTTTCTTCAAGCGTTCAGCTTCCCATATAACACAACACAATCCTATAGATATCTTGAGGATATCCACCAAGGATATAGTAAATATCTTAGGGATATCCAAAACCAGAGGAGGATATTTATGGGATATCCAAGTGGGACAAAAAAAGTTATCTTCACTAGGCAAGACATCTCTAGGCAAGCCTTTTAGGATTATTTGGGATATTTCTAGGATAATACAAGGATGATGTTGGGAGCATTATGGAATATTTTTAGGACATTATATGAGGACTGTTATTTGACAATACTTACTTCATCCTTAGTTTATAGTAAAAACGTTCGCGATTTAGTTTTATTTAGCCACATTTTGACGTTATTCATTGGATATTTTTATTAACAGCTCTAAAATATACCTACATATTATGTCAATGAATTTTGCGTCAAAATTTAGAAGTTTATTTGTATGAGTTAAGAGCTTTCAATTTATACTGTACCATCGAAAAAACGGCGTTCAATTGGCTTGAAAATTACGATCGATGACATTCCCCATATCATTTTACGTACAAAATAACAGCAATCTTCATTTCCAAGCCACCTATGACGCCGTTTTTTTCGGTCGTATGGTATTATACCAGATTATACTACCCTTTATGGAGTCTATCAGTTTATGTCTAGCAGCAACAGTTTACATCAAGGTTAGCACACAGGATACAGGTATAACTTCTAACACCACACATTCCAGAAATTCACAATTTAAACCCAAAAATAGGATTTCTGTTTGAATAGATCAAACACGAAAATGGGTTTAGGGATAAAGAACAAGCGATTTTCAACAAATTTTCACCTATAATTTTGTCACAAATTCTTCATTGTGAGACACTGAGTTGTTTTTCGACATTAGTTGAGGTTAGGATAGAATTTCTGCTAGAACAAGGCTAGAACTATGAGTATAAGAAAAACTAAGTCAAACTCAACCAGTTTTGTTAGTTTCAGTCATTTTTAAGCCCATCCAATATCGACAAACGACCGAATTCGCCTCGAATTTCACTAACTCAAAGAACTGAATATGAACCAGAGTATGAACTGAATAATACAGGATGCAAAAACCATCAAAAATAAACAACTGTCGAGATGGATTGTGGGAAATTTTTTGCGCGGGCGTTTTAAATTCTCTATATTACTGGGAGTGGCCAAGCTCATACATATCCAGATTATCCAGAAGATACCAACAGGATATTTTGTTGCCTTGACGTAATATATATCTATCTGTATGGTTTATTGCATTTGATGTAATATAAAAAGTAGTACATTATTTATTTTTCCTAAATATCTAGACGATATTGTTAGGATATTTTATTATCATGAGCATGTTTGGATATCTCAGCTGGATGTACAATAGATATACGACAGAGATATCCATAGGATATTCTATTCTGAGACATCTACAGGATTTCAGGATGTCTGGAGGATATCTTATTGATGTCTTTATAAGATGATCTTATAATGGGACATTCCGACATTCTATGAATATCCTGCGAATATTGTGTGTTATATGGGTTAAGAAATGTAATAAAAAATATCATTTTTTATTAAAACTCATTAGTATTTTATTATCTAGATTAGAATTGGACTCAGAGGGGTCCTTCGCGTCAAAACTGAACGGGAGGTTTTGCAAAACGGCGTATAACCTGGCATATGGCGTGCTCATGGAGCTCGCTCCACCCCCCCAAGCAATTTTTAAAACGTAACTCGCTATGGAAAAAAACTATAAATAATAATAAAGCTATAAATAACTATTATTATAATATCTAGGTATATGACAAAAAGGAAAACTAGCAAATATTGTCATATTTATTTCATTTGGTTGTAACCGAGACTAATGCCCACTTGCACCGTTTGTATAAACTTTGTTTAAAGACTAAACAGTGATTAACTATTTTATTTTATTATAGTTAATCACTGTTTAGGCTTTAAACAAAATTTATACAAACGGTGCAAGTGGGCATAACACACTGTATATTAGTTAAATATCAGCATTAATTTAGTCACAATGCGCGTACGGTTTGATTGAAAGAGAGTGGCATTTTGGGTGACGCATTTCTAAAACAAACCACGACATAACATATAACACAAAACCACCATGTTGTTTACTTCTCCTCCACAAGTTTTCGATATAAAATGTCCACGCGACATATTGACCCCGATTCTCGCTTTGCGCTTTAGGGAAATTCATTTTCACACCGACGAAAACGTTAATGAGTCATTTAATTTTATCGCTTTTCATTTATGAGATATCTCTTCGGTGTATATGATCTGTCCAATACAACAGTAGCGGCGCGTGGTTCAATACTTTGGGAGTGCACAACTTTGAACCCACTTTAAGATCAGGGCAGTTAGCTTTGAAAGCAGGAATTATAAAATACGATCCTGCTTGGGCTGCTACAATTCTGCTTTATCCTGCTTCAAATCCCAACCCAGCCACACCTACCAATTTTGAGCCATAGTTACTTTTATTTTGGTTGCTAACTTCCCAGTTGGCAACACATGAGAAGCAAGATCGCCAAAACTGATTCCTGCTTGCGCTGCAAGAACGGAAACATTATCTCGGGAACATTATTGAAAAAGTTGAAATTTAAATCATATACCCCTGTTGCATCCTACTGTAAATTTCATCCCAGCAACACTTGCTGTTT